TTGCTGAGCCTGTCCAGGTCAGCCTGGATCACCCTCCTGTCCTCAGGTGTGGATGATTTGCCCCAAAGTTTGGTGTCATCGGTGAACTTGGCCAGTCCGCTTCTGACTCCAATGTCCACATCATTAATGAAGATGTTGAACAATATGGGTCCAAGGCCAGAGCCTTGGGGGACCCCACTGGTCACAGGGCACCATGACAATTAACTTCCATCAATTACCACCTTCTGGGTCCAACCACGGAGCCAATTTCCCAGCCAGCGGATTGTGGTGGACCCAAGGCGACAATTGGCCTGTTTTGCCAAGAGATGATCATGGGATACCAGATCAAAGGCTTTTTTGAAGTCAAGATATATGACATCAATCTCTTCTCCCTTGTCCAGGTGATAGGTCACCTGGTCGTAGAGGAAAATGAGATTGGTCAAGCAAGACCTACCTGCAACAAACCCATGCTGGCTATCCCTAATGATGCTGGTGTCGGCCTGTCCATTAAGGATGGCCTCTTTAATAAACTTTTCTAAGACCTTCCCCAGGATAGAGGTCAGACTGATGGGCCTATAGTTTGCTGGATCCACTTTCCTCCCTTTCTTGAAGATAGGCACCACATTGGCCTTCTTTCAGTCTTCGGGCACTACACCAGAGCACCAGGAGTTCTCAAAGATTCGTGTCAGAGGCTGGGCTATGATGCTCGCCAGCTCCTTGAGTACCTTGGGGTGTAAACTGTCAGGGCCAGCTGACTTGAAGGTGTCCAGCCTCTCAAGGTGTTCCTTCATGAGGTCAGCATTGATGGGGGGCAGGGAATCTCCCTCACCCGGACCTCCCTGTCCCATAGTGGGCATGGGAGTCCCATCGGACTGATGAAAGACCGACGCAAAGTACCCATTTAATAGGTTGGCTTTTTCCTGGATGTCTGGATGACCGTGGAATGTGCCTTTGGCCATCTGAAAGCATGGTGGAGGTCACTAAGCTACAGGCTCAAGATGGAGCCAGAAAATATTATGGCGTTCATTATGGCAGCCTGCATGCTTCACGGTATTTGCGAGACTAGAGGGGAGGTGTTCAGTGAGTCCTGGTCTAAGGAAGTGCGGGAGGCAGTGGCCAGACAGAGATGTGGGCAGGCAGGTCATTGTGCCCCCTATGATTAGTATGCAAATGCTGGTCAGGAACCCATTGTATGGAATTGCCTAGCTGCACACATTCTGGCTGCTGTAGATGGAGAGGGTGCTCTGTAGGCCACTGAACAATCAGTGCTGAATGCTAAACCATTCTGCAGTTACCTTTAAGTGTTTCTATAAATAAATAAAAAAAAAAATCATTGCAACACTTCTGTCTGTCTCATAAGTACATTGTCTCTAGTTCTGGGGGGGGCAGGCTGTGGGTATGGGGGAGCTAGAGAGGGCTGAATTCTACAGGTTTTCCTTTGCTTTGTATGTATGAAGGGGGTGTGTGGAATGTGGCAAGGACATTAAAATGCATTACCAACCATTGGTTACATTAACTTGATGCCTAATATGCATGTGAAGAAATAAGAAATTCATGGGGTGCTGATTTGTGCACATATTATAAGCACTTGGAGAATTTCAGTGCCCTGTTCAGAGAGAGGGGAGGTGATAATGAAGCAGCTCTCTGCTCCTGTCTCCTGGGAGGGGGCAGGGTCTCTGGTTAGCCTGTGGGGAGGGCGGGGTGAGCTTGGATGGTTATGATGTGGATTTGAATTTGGCAGGCAGAGCATGGGGGACAGCCTGAGGAAACTGGGATTTGGAGGGCTATGGGAACCAAAACCCTAACAGAGACATGGGGAGCAGTGTCTGGGAATGGAAGGGAAACATTGAATGAAACAATGACCCCCAACAGTGAAGAAATGTGAATGCAGGAATGTGGATGCAGAAGTCGGGGGGAGGGCCTGGTGTTTTCCGGGATTGAGACCCCCTATAAAATAATGCAGGGAGTGCATTATCACAGTTCTAATTAGCATACCACAACACTCCAATATGCATATGAAAAGATATAGAAGAAATTCGTGGGGTGCAGATTTATGCACATATTATAAGTGCTCGGTGAATTATAGTCCCCTATTCGTAGGGGTAGTTGTTTGAGTGAAATAAAAACAAAAAGGTGGATTTACACACAAAATAAAGTTTACTTGATGACATAGAAGCAGGAAAATAAAAAATAAGATAAAAATAAAAATAAAGATAGACTGAAAAGAATAAGAATAAAATAAGAAAAAAATTAAAAATATTGGTGCAAACAGCATTTCAATTTAGGGGGCATAGAATGCAACCCTGAAGGATTAAACCCCTGTCATGTGTACAATGGCCCCCAGTCTCCAGACTGACCATAACCTACAGCAAATATACTTGCTGCAAAATACTTGCAAATGACAACACCTGCAGTGGGTAACCTGTACTGTTATTTTGTTTAAATCAGTGATGTCCAATTTGCTGCCCGTGAGGGATTAATTTGCAGACTGTGGGCTTCCACTGGGGTGCTGCTTCCCCATGGTCTGGCTGCTGCTGTTGGGGTCTCTGGGGCTCCCCTCCCTCTTCCAGTTTCTGCTTCCTGTCCCTGGATGTGGGGTAGCCTGCAGGGCCCAGGGAGCCTGTGTCTCTGGGGGAAAGGGGGTTGGAGATAGTTTAGGACCTGCATTGTGGTCTGGCTGGGGGTGGTCAGCTCCTGGCTGCTCCCAAGTTAAACAGCACAAGTGTAAAGCTAAGGGTTCCTGTATATCCAGATTGTAGTAGTATTGTTCTATTTAGTTAGTTGTTATATTCAGGTAGTATGAAAAAAGGAGGATGTGTTTGATAATATATTTTTTGGACCAACACCTATAGTTGGAGGAGATGATAGACAAGCTTTGGGGCACAAAGTGGCCATTCCTGATTGTCTAATAGTGTGAGGATTCTGAACCTGTACATCTTGAAAAATCAGTTTTTCACGCAAAATGTCCAAAATGTCACATGAAAAGGTGGTTTCAGAATAGTCTGACCACATTTAATAAGGAATTAGAAATCAAGTGCCTTCCAGTTTGGGGTTTTCTTAGGAACTATAGTCAGAGAGAAGGCTCAAATTGAGAGAGTAGAGTACAATAACTTCTTTCCCCAAAATCAGAGAAATTCAGATTGAGGCAGATTTGAGGTCCTGTATTTTATTCCCCCTATATAAAATAGCTAAAAAGTAAAATGTCATATACTTTGGTTTCTGTATTTATAATAATTTGTATGATGGTTATTATTAAATGTAGTGTTTGATAAAGTCAAAGAGCTGTCTATCCAGAATGATGTAATCCAAAATCCCAGGTGGAGTTCTGGATGACCAATAAACTGAAGAATACCGGGAAACAAGGGATCTCTCAAAACTGTGGTTTGAAAACAAAAATAGAAGCACTGATTGTGTTTTATACACTGTTTTTAATAGAACCCACTGCTTATGAACTATTTCAAGTTAGGTATCCTCAGAGGAAACTTTACACATAACAGATTGAATTACCTTTGAGGAACAGATATATTGTTCTCTCAGACCTGATCCAAAGTCTACTGAATTCAAAAGAAAAGTTCCTACTGGCTTCGATGAGCTTTGGGTCAGTTTGTGTATCTCAGTTTTTGTTAAAGTGCTGTTCAGTTTCAGTACCGGAGGTTTGAATGCTTAATTTCTGTCTATGGGTTGTAGAAATTCAAATTCAGAGTTACAGTTACAAGATACCAGAACCAGAAGTGTGACAGTAGCTCAGGTACGCAAAGCCTAGATAGCTTTAAGTACTGTTGATCAGTTTATTTAGTGTTTTAATTTAAAACATTAACAAACAGTTATAGGAAATTCCCACTTCACTGAAAACTCCTATCAATCCTGGTTTTACGTTACAATATTTTTCTTTTCTCTTTTGTATGAAGCTCTGACTCTGACTCTGAAGAAGAGCCAATTACAGAGGAAGAACTGGCCAAACTGAAGGAAGAAGTAGAAGAGAAAAAGAAACTAATTGCCACATTACGAAACAAACCATGGAAGATGAAAAAGAAATTAGCTGTCTTGAAGTATGGTCTCATTTCCTTATGAAATAATTGTTGGTCTGATACCTGCATGGCATTGTCCTTTCTTGAGCTTTTTTCTCTCTCAACTTTTGACTTATTTTTTTTTCTATATCTATGGACTTATTCAATTTTAAGCAGATTCAAGTCCACCTCATTTTCACTCTGAAAGCTCATTCCTTTCAGAGTGAAAGGATGTGCTGTTGTGGATCAGTATTAATTTATCTATAGATACTTGGGGTCAAAACATGGAGGGTCTTTCTGACCATGGTTTCCCCCCACATCAACTGGTAAAATTACTTTTGCCTTAGTACTGCCCAGGATGCTCTCTTGCCTGTATTCTTAGCAAATATTTCAAGATTAATGGGGAAAACACTTTTTCTCTTAGGGTTTTGGGAAAATGAATAATATAATAATTGAATTTGTGAAAAAAAAAAAAAAACTTTAGGAAGGTTGGCTCGGCATTTTATATATTTTCTGGTATGTCACAGGCAAATCCTGCCTTTTGCTTTAGTGAATGCTTCACTTCCATTTTAACTAAAGTAAAAAGTGAATTTTTTTTTTTATGTCTACAGTGCCTATTAACATTATTTGCCTGTTATGTCCCTGGTTAGATTTTAGAGTTTTCAGTTTAGCTAATGCTTTTCAAAAGTCCGTTCTGCCTGACCTTCTACTATGTAGATTTGAACTCTTCTGTCTGATTTGCATTTAGTGATGATGTCAATTTTCTGCAAAGTGATTCATTTAGTATGGTACACAATTTTACTTAAAATTTAATTAATTTAATCACAATTCTAGATTTAAATGAAGTTTAAAGTTAATAACTACATTTCTAAAATCCATGCTGAGAAACTAGGCCACGGGCGGGCAATTATTTTGGGCGGATTGCCACTTACTGAATTTTGGCAAGCCACAGCATGACAGGCATCCAGGGGCAGATAAATATTATTTTTTTAATTTTTTAGGGGCCCTGCAGGCTGAATAGAATGGCCTGGTGGGCCACATCCAGCCCGTGGGCCGCATTTTGCCCACCCCTGGACTAGGCATACATTACATTTTAGGTACTAAAATAACTGTGAGTATATACATATATTCTCTGGGTATTTTGCATAATCACAACAATAGTTTTTTATATGGTTTAGACAGACATGCAGCTCCCTGCTATAACTCATAGCACTTCACAGGATGCACTATGAGTTACAGCAATCCCCAGACACAACAGACATTTTCTGTTGGGTCCTGGGGGTTGTAGGATTCAGCTGCAATTTGGAGCAGCTGTGAGTCTGCCCCTAGCCCCAACCCTCCCCCCTCCAAGCCCCTTCCACCATTCCCTTCTCCCCTTTCCATTTAGACACAAGTTAATGAAAGCACTTTACTTTGGAGTGTTTTCATCTGAACCCTCATGTATCAAGTGTTCAGATTGTTATGTGACTGGGCCTCTTTAAAGCATTCTGCAGCCATGCATGTTTGGTCACAGTTGTAGAGTGCTTTCAGGGCCAGATCAGGGAAAAAATGTCACTTCTGACTGTGCCTATAGGCTTCCACAGCTTTTTTTGAAGTAGGCCTTAAAGTATTTTAATAACTTACTTTCTCCAGAAAAAATCTCTGTGGGAAGTAGAAATGACAGTTCTTCAGAACAGTTTCTTTATAGTGAAATCTATTTTTTATAAACTGAAGATTTATATATGTTACCATGTCTCTATCAAATATGATTCCCAAAATAGTTACCATTTGTATCAGAAAATCCTATTTGAGCTTGCCACTGTTATATATAGAAACTCATGCATAGCACAGCTCAGAAGACCAAAATAAGACAATCAAATAAACAGCCAAAATTTAAAAAAAAACAGAAAAAAAGATTAACTAAGAGCCAGTAAACTGGGTCAGATTTTCAGACATAGGCATAATAAGGCATCTCAATCCACATTTAGCTGACTAGATAGATGTGTAGGAGTTGTTAACCCAGTTATTAGGTACCAAAATACTGATATTTTCTAGAGCTTATTTTCATAAGTGACTTAAAAACTCTGAAATTCATGTCCCATTTACTCCAATAAAAGTGTGGAGCACTGCAGATTTTGAATTCGTTTAACTCTGTACATTTAGGAATCAATCAGTATTGTTTACTGAACAATGTAGCATGGAGACATTTTTATACCAACTTAAAAAGTGCTCATATCAATATAGACCAATTTACTGATTCCTAACGAATAGTTTACAGACAGCATGTTATCTGGAAGCATTTCTAACATCAGTTGTAGACATAGGAAACTAAAAAGCTAAAGCTGACAGAGGAGCATAGGACGTTAAAGGAGAATGAAGCACAATGTTACCTGAAGCATGTTACTTTCCCTGTATTGTTGTTCTCAAGTCCACAATATCTGGGAACCATTGGTTTAAGACTTGTTGGCACTCTATCCAAATTAACTTCAGTTAGCATTAGGTGTTAAAATCAATTAAAATATAAATCCTAAATCTTGATTATCCATTCCTTAGTAGCTATTCCAGAATAATTTTATATGCAAACAAGCCACATGCCTGTATGAGTAAAAACTGAATACCTAAATCCGAACACCCCATTTAAAAATGACTGCTTTGGCTGCTTTTCGTAAGGCTATACCTATGTAAATTTCTTCAGGAATCCAAATTTGAGAATGTTCATCTCAAGATTTTAGTTTCTAGTAATGATTTGCTCCCTCCATTTCTTTACTCTTCTTTGACCAATCATTTGACAATTTGAGTTATGATTGGACATGTGCAATTTATAGAAAATAATTGTTACATAAGGGAAGATGTTAGGGACTCCAGTGTTCTTCAGTTAGGAAAAGCAGATTTTTCCATTCGTGCTCCTCCAATCAATATAGTGTGAGAATATTCCATCATAGCTTTCAAAGCTGTTTCCTTAGTCCATGGCTCAGGGGAGAATTTCCATTCCAGTCTATCCATTCTAAAGATCAGAAAAGGTTTTGACATTTTGAATTTTTGTCCCAATTTGGCCTGGGAAAATGTTTTGAAATCATGAAAAGTTTTGTAGGATGGGAATATCAATTCCTGCCTTGCTCTAATATTATATTGCAAAGAACTTTATTCTATTTTGTAGTGAAGTATGTTTTAAGCTACTCCTTAGCTTTCTTTTGAAAATGTGTGAACTGTAATTTTTTAAAAATGTTGATAGTGCAGATGCAGAACTAGAATCTGCATGGAAAAATTAGGTTACACTTACATTAATGCCTAGCTTAAGTCCACAAGGGACAAACTTCATAGGCTGAAATGCCATTTCTAAAAGCATTGCTTGGGTAACTGACTGTTTTGTGGAAAGTTCCATACCAGCTTTCATTTCTAATTTACTTCCCAGTACCCTGAATTGTGGATTTCACATCAGCTCATCTGGCCTCTCAGTATTGTGTGAATACCAGTATATAGACAAGAGCCATCCATAGATGCTCTCTTTGATAATATGGAGTTTCAAGTTATTAATGTCCAGTCTTCAGACCTTTGAAATTCTGGAAAGAGGCTGGGGAAGGCTACAAATGAAGGATAGGATTGTGTGTATAAACCAGATTAAGTATGTGCATCTCAACCAGCCATATAACAAATAGATGTTCTGGGTTGTGAGCAAGCGCCATTTTGCAATTTGGGAACCTCGTCATATCTGAGGGCAAAATGTCTCCCTCTGAAGAAATGATCTATCCCTTGCCAATTTACCTCCATTGATTCCCTACTCACACAGGCTTTTCTTCTTTAAGGAATAATCTAACCTCTGGTATGTCTAATCACTGATCTCAATTACCTCGCAAAAGGCAATATTCTCTGCACTAAGTGTAACCGAATTAAGGAAGGATGGTGTTTCATGTGATACCATGCTGTTATTCCAAGATGTTTACTTTAGACTTCAGATGAGTTTAGTGCCTTAGAAAGATGTCAGATTAGCCAACAAGGAGAATCCAGTGCTTTGTTAATCATGTGAGAGTTAAACCAAATGCTGTAGGTCTGTAAGATTCTCCACATTGTCAGGCTAGTGCATATTCACTGTGAACTGGAAAGAGGGCCACTAAGTACTGGAAGGGGATCCTAAAGCCTAAAGGGAAAAATTACAAGCTAAACCATCACCTGCTGCATGTCAGTGTAGCTCCAATGAAAAGCACGCCCATTTACCACAGCTGATGATCTGATGCATATATGTTAATCTACCCAGTCCCCTAATTTCCCCAGTTTGTTTCTTGTGTCCTGTGGAGAAAGGAGAGAATGGAATTGGGTAAAAGGGGGCATTTAATAATAGGGTTACTCTATTTGGTTTTGAAATACAGGTCTAATTCTTGTTGCAGGTTATCAATTATATTTTAGTTACATGAAGTGTGCAGTGTAAATCCGTAGGGGCCATAAACATCTGTGTAGTATCTCTCTATTATCGAAACCTCTTATGTTACCATATATTGGGCAGCTCTATAGGGGCACATGGTAGCTTGCCCTGTAATGATAATTCTGTCTTGTTTATTAATCTTTCCACAAACTTAAAACTGCATAAGGCCAGAATGTCACAGGCCATTTGGGGCACTGTGAGTGTATCAATTTAGTTACAGGCTGACTGAGTACTGCAACTGTATCAGCCACTGGGCTGTTTGGTTTGGGATAGAGGAGGTGAAGTTGGGAGGGAAACAATGGCAAGTTTCACTTATAACAGTAAAAATGAATTTTACTAATAACAGCAAAAGATATAGTTTACACGTATAGCAGTTAATAAAAAGGTTAAGTTAATAAACAGACAACATAATAATAAAAGTTAAAAATTGGCGGTGATAATAAAAACAGATAGACAAATCAACAGAGAGTTCCCACTTGGTTAGCAACTTATCGATAGTCCCTCAGTGTCAGGTACACGTCAAGTTGATTCAGCGAAGTCAGGTGTCCCTGATCCATGCTGTTGGAGGAAATACCAGGGAAAATCCCTCAGTCAGGATCTGGTCCTCTCTCACACTGGGAGTAAGAGACCTGGGGGCATGGGACAG